ATCTATAGCATGTAGGTCAGTGTGTGCATCTATGAATAAGGTTGTGTGTCGGTGTTTCTATCTGTGTGTCTATGTATCTGCATGGGTGTCAGTGTGTGTATCTGTGTGTCTGTATATCTGCATATATTAATATTATCTCTCTGCTTTATTATAAACCCTTCACTCCTAACTCATAGTAGCTAAAACCTGGATGTCAAGCAGTAATTTCAATGCTTCAATTTACTTTATTTTATTACTATGTACTATGGGAGTTTTAATCATTAAGATCATTAAGATTAGCTATTTTGGTGGGTTTTTTTTTTTTTTTTTACTGCTTATGAAATACTGGCATTTATGTTTCCAGTGGACATCAACTGCTACATATATTTGAAAATATCAATCGTTCACTGCTGTGTGCCGGTAAGTTGGTAACATAGTGTCTAACTAAATTTTATTATGTAGCAATGGAAGATAGCGATGGATATTTTGTAACCAGAGAACCAAACTGGATCTATAATATACAGACAAGTAATATGCATTATGTTAGATTTAGATGGCAATATTGTGGGGAAATGTATACACTAAATTACCACCACACTGTTTTTATTATATTTTATTTTTTTTATCTTTTAGATTGTTTGGGGACTTTTAAGATGATAGAAAATAAACTCTTTGGTTTAGGTTGGTTTAAAGTGTTCATATAATATTTATTTAATTTTATACCATATGTAGAGACATTTGCATGTATATGTGTATCAGAGTTTTAATACCAAAATCTCTAAGTCAGAGGTTTGTAAAATGGTGGTTCTTGGCTCCAATAGTATTAGATGAGGGTAGGCAGCTTGAACACCCGATCTGAAGTCTCTCCTCTTTCCAGATAAATGTAAATTGCTTGTACCACTCCACGCTATATTTTAGGAGCCAACACACAGGCTCCATACCACGTGAGTGCATTTTCATTTTATCGTTTATCTATTTTAATCCAGATATACTACACTAGATTAGTCTATCTGTATGTTTTATATTTTTTATACAAGCTCCCGGACTGCTGACTGAGACCAAAGGAAACCCACGAGAATTCAGAAGCATATACAAGTGGAGCTTTGAAGAGCTCCCAAAATCTGTAAGTGTATTTACTTACTTATCCTTCAATTTTACTAGAAATAGTGCAACGCTCAGATCTCGAGAGTGAACTCTAGCCCCACTCTCCACCACCAGGGATGGCAGCAAGGAAGGATCCCCCCTCCCAGGCATAAAGTAAGAAGGGAGGGGGATATTAACTGATCTGCCCCCACCTCCACTGGACCACCAGGGAAGGCAGCAGCACGGTCCCCCCTCCCTACATAAGGTAAGAAGGGAGGGGGATATTTATTAACTAATCTGCCTCCACCTCCACCCCCACAAATCACCCAAACACACGGCACCCACACAGATACAGCACACAAACAGCACCCACACACACACAGCACACACACACATACAGCACACAAACAGCACCCACACACTCACAGCACCCACACACATACAGCAAACAAACAGCACCCACACACACAGCACCCACACATACAGCACCCACACATACAGCACCCACACACATACAGCACCCACACACATACATCACCCACACAGCACACAAACAGCACCCTCGCACACACACAGCACACTAACAGTACCCTCACAAACAACACCCTCACAGCACACTAACAGTACCCACACAAACAGCACCCTCACACCGCACACTAACAGGACCCTAACAAACACACACACAGCACACTACCAGTACCCTCACACACAAACAGAACCCTCACACACAATACATTAACAGCACCCTCATAAGCGCACACACACACAAACACCCTCACCCACATAGCACACTACCAGCACCCTCACACAGCACACACACACACACACATCAGTGTATGTGTGTGTATATGTGTGTATATATGTGTATATATATATATATATTTATATATATATATATATATATATATATATATATATATATATACGGCGTGTGCTTGTGCTTTAGGGTGCACACCCTAATGTAATAGGCTGCGCACGCCTATGATTATATATAAACACTCCCCTGCATTCAAAAACCAACATTACGCACAAATGCCCGCCTGTTTTCAAAAGCAAACTCTGCACACAAGTACACCATTGATTTCAAATGGCAACTACATAAAACCCCACAATTTCATTTAAATGCCACCATTGCACACAAATACACCCCTACATTCACACACACTTCATTCAAATGCTTACGTTTACATACAAACACTGCTTAATGCTAAATACAGCCCTGCAAGGATGGGAAAATGGTAGATCCTCTGCTGGCAAAGCATTGCAGGAGTTGTACAACAGATTGGGATCCACCTTTTGCCACCCTTGCAATAGGGGAGGCAAACAGAATAATTGCGCATGGGCAATGTTAGTAGCACCACTGCCTACTACAGCCCTTATTCCTCTTCTGCTCCCATTAAAGCTCCTATATCCCTCCCCTGCACCCACAGTCTTGATTACACAGCCTATGTCCCCTGCACCCACTATAGCCCCTATACCACCTGCACACATCAAAGCCCCTGATACCCCTTTCACCCAGTACACCTTCTAACAACCCCTGCATCCACTACAGCCCCTACTATGCTCTGCACTCACTACAGCCTATATTTCCTCCAGCACCCACTATAGCCCCTACCCCTCCTCTGCACCCACTAGAGCCCCTAACACCTCTGCACCAGTGGTGATGTTCAGCCTGTTCCCTCCAGCTCACACAAACCTGTTACTAACATTTAACATTTAAGTTCGCCAAGCCTGCGGTGAAACTGGCCCATTGCTGGAACACAAAAATCAGTTGTCAGGCAGTGTGCAGCTCCATAACAGAACTGCATGCAGACTAAGCAAGCTGGGGAGAGCCTCCCCCCCTGGCTCAGTGTAGGAGCACTCAGTGTTAAGGAGACAGCGCACCTTGCTGGACAGCGAGAGGCCCTCTCCCCTGCCTAGACAGGTAAAATAGGGATGGGGACCATATTGTTAGTTGTCAGAGCTGGCATTGAAAGGGAAGCAGCTACCTGCCACTTGAGGAATGAGAGACACATGGATTGAATAAGTAAGTGGACATTGAGGGAGGAGACACATGGATGGCAGCGGACATGGAGAGGGGAAACACATGGATGGCAGGGGACATGGAGGGTGGAGACACATGGATGGCAGGGGACATGAAGGGGTGAGACACATGGATGGAGGGGTGATACACATGGATGGCAGGGGACATGGAGGGGGAGACACATGGATGGCAGGGGACATGGAAGGGAGAGACACATGGATGGCAGGTGGCATGGAGGGGGGAGACACATGGGTGGCAGGGGACATTAGGGGGGAGACACATGGATGGCAGGGGACATGGAGGGAGATGCATGGAAGGCGGGGACATGTAGGGAGACACATGAAAGGCAGGGGACATGGAGGAGGGAGACACATGAAAGGCAAGGGACATTGTGGGGGAGATGCATGGGTAGCAGGGGACATGTAGGGGAGACACATGGATGGTAGGGGACATGGAGTGGGGAGACACATGAATGGCAGGGGACATGGAGTGGGGAGAAAATGGATGGCAGGGGACATCCATGTGTCAGGGGGATGGTCGGTGTTCAGTAGGTTGCACAGTAGGTTGCACAGAGTGACGGATGGAAGGAGGGAGAGACATGGATGGAAGGGGGGTGTCATCCTAGGCTGCCCATTTGCTAGTTTTACATGTTTAGTAGATAACATATGCCCACACCTGGCACGTGGCAGGTGAGGCTTAGGGAGGTTTTAAACCTCCCTTATTGACCCTCCAGCAAGCTCGCTTCCTGGCTCTCCACTGGGACACAGGAGTGCTTCAGCCCCTAGCTGCCGCAGCTGGGCTGCTGTCTCTCTGTTGCTTCCCGCCCTGGAACAGGATCCTGGCTACATTTTCAAGTGATGAAGCTCTCCTGCAGAGAGTATAGCTGATCCACCCAAACACTAGCCCAGACTGAATGAAGGGTGAAAAGAAACTGCTTTATTATGGCCAAGTTGCCTGCTTGTATACACAACCCCCAGCAGGGGGTCTTCACACAATACAATGCAAGCCCCCCCCAAAGATCTCTGTGTCTGTGAGATAAATGCATTAAAGACCAGTAAGCTAATTATCTCCCAGGAACAAAGAGGCAAACACAAAAACATAGAATATACAATAAACCCACATATAATACATCCCAAAATAGCTCTGATCTGAGTGCCCAAGTTCCCAATAGCGCTCAGTGTAGGGGAAATGCCACTGTGTTAAAGTTCCGACCGGCCGCACATGTGGTCCTATACCCATAGTAGTTCTAGGGCGTTTGGTGCTTTGGCTGGTCAACTTTCGGGAGCTCCTGCGTCTGAAATATGGGGTGGTCTGTCTGGCTTTTAGGTAGCATTTGTGCCCCTTAGTCTCAGGCACCTTCCCTCCAAAAAGTGATCTCCTGGCGGGTTACAAAGTCGTTCAAAACCCCGTACAAAGTTGTTCGCGAACTACATGGTCACCTCATGTCAAAAACTCTTTCATAACATTTGAAGTGACTGGGGACCCACGAAGTCTGTCTGTGTGGATGTATGTGTGTGTCTGTGTGTATGTGTGTCTGTATGTATGTATTTGTCTGTGTGTATGCATGTGTGCCTATGTATGTGTCTGTGTGTATGTGTGTGTGCCTCTATGTATGTCTGTGTCTGTATGTATGTTTCCGATGGGGGGGACCCACGGATAAATTTCCCACCGGGGCCCCATGTATTGTGTGTACCCCACTGGTAATGAGCGTTTATCACAATAAAAATACAGATTAAGGAACACCGCAAAAATACCCATTTTTGTAACATGATTTTTATGTGGTGCAGAAAACGGTTTAATGATTTGTAACTCAAATAGCATTCAGTCATAATAATCTCAAAAAATTATGAAAAATATATTAAAAAATAAATCCAGTGAGGGCGAGGCCTGAACATGGCGAGCATGGTAGGCGAGCATGGTAGGCGGACATGTCGTGGGAGAGCTCCTGCTGCAGGTTGCATTAAATGCTCTCATAGCCCACTCACGGCACGCCGAAATGCGCTTTACTGAATCTCACAGACCCAGGCAGCAGAGCGGAGTCCGACAGGGTGCCCCACGACGGGGACAACCCTGGGATTCCAGTGAGACCTTGCACGCTCGGAAATCAGAGGAGACAGACGATCTCCCGAACCACGATGCACAACTTCAGGCCTGTGGGCTAAAGCTACCCCATTACCCCCCCCCCCACTTTGGACCAGCAGGGGTCATCCTGGTCCCCACCAGCTTATACTCACCCAGGCAACACCCTGCAGCCACACACAGCCCGCTCCTCAAACACAGCGACTCTGACCCAAATAGCGGATGCACCATGTTCCAGGAAGCCTCCCACGCAGCTTGTACAGCCACACCATAGCGCTATAGAGTGGTCCCTGCAGAAACTGGATGAAATCCTCCAAAGATTCTGGGACACCCTGGCTGCAAGGAGGTGGCGGACAAGGGGAGCCCAAGGTCACTCTGGGCACAGCTACTCCTCAAGCACCGGTTGCACCTAAGAAGGGCCCACCTGGGCTCAGGGCCTTTACAGCTAATTTGTTCAAATCACAGTTTAGCACATTATACACCTCGCAGTCTTCCTGTTGCTTTTACATGTCTAGCTAGCCTATCACTTTACCTACTCGCATACTTGCCTACAGCTAGGTCATGAACACCCGATAAGCTATTAATTATAAAAATTGTGCAGATATTCTCCTGTGCCCTAATGTTATCTATATATGTTGTTTAGCATGTGTAATGCTGTTGGGGCACCTCAAGCATGTTGTACACTTTTGCACTGCAAAACATAAAATAAATAAATAAATCCAACATACTTTGGCTTGGCTTAGTTTTAATGGGTGAATCTGAAGTCAGGATGAAAGAGTACTTTATCAATCTTCCGTATTGTTTAATTAAGGTTTACTAACAAAGACCTCTGCAGATAAAACGTGTCTGTTTTATTTCACGCATTAATAAACTTATGTATTCCACACTGACTCCTGACATTTTTATCTCAAGATGAACATATAAAACTGCCTTTGCTTTTATTCTTTTTTTTATAAGATTGAAAACACAAGGCCAATTTATTCTATTTTCTGTAAAGTATTATTATCACTATCATAACAAAAGTATAGTCAGAATGCAGTTTGCTTAACGTCCCGACTTGTTTGATTGCTGTTGGACTGGAAGAGAAAAAGAAGTTAAAGCAAGGACACACAGGCCAGTAAAATCTTCTTTCCAGTTTCCCAAATAAAGTATTCAGTAGAAAGAAGGTTTACTGCCCGTTAAGAAAAAAAAAAAAATTGGTAAAAAATAAAAGAAAATTGTAAAAATATTTTTTTAAATGTAAATGTCACTCCAAGCACCAATGCAACATTAATGCATTTGATAGGTTTTGGCCTCATTTACATGCAGAAATTTTGCATGATCAAATATTTATATTTTTTGCAAAAAAAAAAAAAGTTTTGCAGAATGCTGCAATATAAGTCTGCTTCCTTAGCCACGCCCCCTAACTCCAGAAAAAGTATTCCGTATTATTCACTAAAGTATAAATTCAAAGTGAATTTTAAATGTAAGGCCACAGCATCTGACAGCATACCTAAGAAAATTTCCAGTTTGGCTATTTTGATTTTAAATTTTAAATTCACGTTGAAATCTCACTAAAGTAAACAACCCTGTTTGTGATATTGCACTGAGAGACAGTAAATCATAATGTACCAGCTTGCCATAATATGATTTAGCAGCTGAGAGGGAAATCATATCTCTAATGCCGTGACTGCATGGGGCAGAAAGGCCAACCCTGGAGCGAATAGGGAGGGGGGAGCATGGCTGCCGCCATGAGGGTTGGCATAGCAACCAAATGGATACAGTTTGTTTGACCGTTGAAAGCAGGGAATTCTGGGAAAATTACCAGACTGCTGGTAAGCGGATTTCCTGCGCCAGCAAGTTTGGTAAATGAACAATGCCCGGACTGGCTTAAGTAGTCGCAGCTTTGCTAGCATTGACATCAGCAGAGGGATTCCTCCCAGCACTATCTTTAATGTTAGGATTAGCATTAGGTTTAGTTTGTGTTATTGTTTAAGTGCTTAGTGTTAGGATTCCAGTTACTGATTAGGATTAGGGTTTGGGGTTATTGTTAGTTAATATACTGGTTTGAGTTGGATAATGTTGGTACTGTAGTATTCATATTTAAGGTTAGGGTTACACTTAGTGTTCATGCTATTTTATGGTAAGGGTTAGCATTATAGCTAGAATTAGGGTCATGGTTGGCATTAGTATTAGGATTTGTGTAGGAAGGTTGATAACATAGACCCATATTTAGTAACTTCTCTCATTTTTTTAAAACTGCAAACTGCAGTTAACTATTTGGCCCTGTATCTTTGATATACAAACATCATATATAAATATGGTATTGATGTACTCAGGAGATGTAGGAGTGCTGTTCAGGGAATTTATTTATTTATTTTGCTTTTTTTTTGTTAGGTATTTCTTTTTACAGTAAATGGAAAGATTGAAATTGCAGTTGAATACACAGAGCACAAATAGCAAAATTGAGAGGTAAGTTTGTCACCCTTTATTTTCCTACCAAAGTTATTCTTCTTCTAATAAACCTTTGTAATATTTATGATGGCAATATCATGGTTTGCAGTTGGTTTTAAATTTTTAATAAAATAATGTTATATAGATGAGCTCAGGGCTCTATTCAAGATCTTCTACATATTTCTTGCCAAACTATTTCTTTGCAATCATCAACTTCATGCATGGGTGTATTGTTATGCTGAAATTAAAAAGGACCTAATCCAAATTGTTGCCACAAGTTTTCAAATGGTATTGCGCACTGTAATGTGTAACGGTCCCTTCACTGGAATTATGTGAGCTTGATCCATGAAAAATATCTCTAGATTATTATTTATCCTTAACTAAACTTTATAAGTGGGCCTGTGCAAACAGACATTTGGCATTCTCAGGCATTTTGTAAATCTAGCCTATCAAGCAGCCAGTGACTCAGTTCTCCAGAAAACACCTTTCCACTGCATGAAAATCCCATGAGGCACACTTTTCTTCTCTCCAGCTGACACATCACATTGTGCATGATGACCTTACATTTGTTTTTAGCACTATGCCATGGAAACCCATGTCATACAGAGATAATTTGGAACTTGGTAGAAAGTATGGTTTTATTACATGCGCCATACACATTGTTAATTTCTGTGAGCTTCTACAACCTACCTTTTTGTGACTTAGCTGTTGATGCTCCTAGATATACGACGTGGGAGCCATGTCACAATAACAGCAGGTGTAGTTGACTTGGACATAAATGTGGTTAGCTAAATTTGACCCTCTAAGTATTTATGGAGAAAAATTTAACAATTTCAGTTATTTCTAGATCTTAGATGGTGAGATTTATTGTCCATGGATAAGATTGACTGCGTGGGGTCAGTATGAAGTAAATGAACTAATATTTCAATTAATTCTATAACAGTGAATACTAAGAAACAACAACGAATGATTGAAATAATACTCAAAATTACTACTTCTGCAAATATAATAGTAATGATAATATACAAAAAGAAGTGATTCAGGGTGTTACACATGCTGGTAAGGGTACTATACACTACCTTAAGTTTTAATTCTGAGTTGATGTAATATCTTTAATTACATCAAATGAGAAAGATAGAGATCTCCCATATCTTCCTAAAGAAGGTGATAGTGATTTACGGAGCTCTCGTACTCTGACTGAGTACCTCTACCAGGTTTGCTTCCTTAATGCCACAGGGGACCCTGGAACACTTCAGCTCCAGTTGCCGAAGAATGACTGGGGTCCCTCCGGAACTCTTCCACCCGACCAGTCCGCTGCTCAATTTTGCCAGGCAGTTATTATCCCCTCTTCCTTTGTCTCTATAGTTTCTTACAGTATTTACAACCCTGCCTGTAATATGATTAGCTCTTGCCTTTATAAAGGTACTGATGGCTCTCATGCCTAGCTCTCTTTTTGACTTGTCCCAGGCTAGAGGGATTCTGCAGTCAGCCAACAGGTCCTAATACTCTGTTACTGGGATCTCTATCCACACAGAACCAAAAGGAACTAACATACAATTCTTTATTTTTGGACAAGGACGAGCCTTTGAGAACTAGTCCTTAAATATGTTGTGACAAACATTTAAAATACAAATATATAGAATATTGGAGATCGAGCAACTATAATTAATACATGACCTATATCATACAAATAACTTTTTCAAACACACTAAACCTCCATTATATATACATTTAACTGCTTGTTTGGTTGCCTTCATTTGCATACTAGTTTTATGCAAATGTACAAACTTTTATTCAGCCAGCAGAGGGCGCTGCAGAGTTATCAAGTAACAATGAATAGTTTGTTGCTACCATTACAAGCCCCTTTCAGGAGCAGGACCAGGACCATAGTCTGTGGACATGTCAGGATAACTAAGTGATCCAGCACGCAAAATAATATCACACTTAGGACTAAGGATAACATATAACCAGACCTTAGAATGGCCGGACTTAACGTATCCAAGAATAGTCATAATACTTGCTGAGGTCAGGGAAACAGAACGTGACACAACGATGAGGGAAAGCCAAAAGTAAAGGAAATCAGAAATCAGGGAAGTCAAACGAAGTCAAAATACCACAAATACAACAATCAGGAACACCCTCTTGGATGACCAGCTTAGGGAAACCATGACAGGGCACTGATTAAAAGGTAATTTGGGTTTAAATAACCCTCCTGGAGCTGTAATTGGCTATATGTGGCCTCTGACCCCAAAATGTGCGTGCACGTCTATTATGTGACGTCGCATGCACGTTTGATATGGGCAAAGGGTATTTCTTTATTAAAATTGGAACCGCAGCGGCCGACAGCTCTGTTAACGCCGCACACATTGGGAACCAAGAAAGAAGGAGGTCGGGTCTTGATCTGCCGCGGGTTAGATGAGTGTTTGTTATTTCTGTCAGCGTGATCGCTGTTTTTCAGTGCGTCACAGCGACAGAAACCTGCGGCACCATGACAGGACAAGAGGCTGGCCTTCAAGTCTCTCCATGACATTGGAGCTTCTGTTACACGAGGGGTTCTAGACCTCTATATGGTTGGAAAAAATATGCCTGTCTAATGAAGGTGATAATGTTTTACCACTGAATCGAGGAAATGAGAATCCAGTAAAAAATATTTAATCCTTCTTAATCTACATTATTCTGTGTAATAGCCATTCTGCCATCCACATATAGCCCTGCAAACATATCACGTCATAAAAGAATGTAGAACAATTTATCTTCTAACTTTTAATCCTTCTAGATAGAAAGACCAAATGCTGCCTACCATAATACCCATTACCAAGTCCATGCTGTGATCTTAGTTAG